CGCGGCGTGGTTTCGGTGGCAGTGGGGCTCCGTAAGCGTCTTCTTCCGAGCCCGGGACTGAACTGTGCCGGCTTTGCCTGGCACATTGCAGGCTTCTTGCGATAACCCTGTTCCCTGTCACCCCCTGGGGACGCGCGGCTGCTGCGGCGTGAAAACGCTTGGTTAGAGAACGCCTGGTTCCAGCTTTGCTCACGCTTTTAAAAATATCTTTGTGGTTTTTGTTTGTTTCGTTTAGATTAAGTTATATACAAAACATGGTACTCTGAAATACCAGACAGATTGTGCTCCAAACAATGGATATTTCATGATCCCTCTGTACGATAAGGTAAGAGACTGAAATGCCAGTGCTGACTCCTCTGTGCTGGAGGCAGGAGCTGCCCCCACGCTCAGATCTGCCGGCAGGTTAAACGTCAGTACAACACCCACCCACGAAACGTTTGAATCAGTACATGATTTGGTTTGGACCAAACTTTCAACAGTTTCTTTTTGTAAGGCAGCTGTTTTATTTCTCAGTGCTAAGTATTATCACGAGAAAAGCGAGGCCACTTTAGCTGCCGTGTTGCACTTGTGCGATTTGTCTGTACGGCTGTGGCATTGGGAGCCTGAGTTACTGCCAACCACCATGTGCTAGCAGCTGTACAAATACTGCCCAAAAAGTACAGGTTCCTACAGAATACAGATAAAGCTTTCAGTTATCTACTTCTAGAAATTAAAATTAATTAGTATGACAATGTGTTTTGATATGACTGAATTGAAACTTGAATTACTAATAGCAGATATTAAAAAATCTTAAAAAATACTGATACAGGAAAGCTCAGAATGTGTCAGAAGTTTGATGTCTATTTAGAGTGGAAAAAATGTTTACATTCAAATTAAATACAAGCTGCCATCAGATCATCAAAGTGTTTTGCTCCTTTATAGAGCTAGTTAACTTAGAGATCAGAAATAAATCCTTCCCTCCCAAACCTAAGAATGTAAGATGCTTTCTGATCTCAGTGATTTAATTCTTAGGTCTTTGAGCCTTTCCATGGATGAACTTCAGAACATATGCGCAGAACTGATCTAAAGAGGATCTTTGTGTAGATTTATACCCTTTCGGTGCAATGCTTTTTTAATAAGAGTGGAAGTTTGTTATCCCGTGTTTGGACAGAATGGTTGAGTAGGACCTCCAGTGGAAATACTGAAGGCTGATATAGAGCACATCTGCTGGGGCAGGTAGGGATAGATTTGAACACTTTCTAACACTGAGTTGCTTGAACGTGAGCCAGGTTTGGTCTGGAAGTGGTATAAACGTGATAATACTTAATTTTTACTCTTAGCTGGTTGGATGTGAACCCAGCATCCCAATCGGTCTGGGTAGATATTGCTGCTTCTTTGAATAAAGTTTCTTAGGTAGGAGGAAAGGAGAATGGGACACCTGAATCTTGTGTTACTCTCTGAAGCATGGTGCTTATGTTCTGACTTCTTTTTTTCTTATTCTTTAGCTAAGTGGAGTTTAGATCAGTGAAGACAGTTATTGCTTTTTTATTTTTAGGGGGATTTCATTCTTAAAATTGAGCCTCCCCTAGGGTGGAGTTTCGGTAAGTGCTCATATGTCTTCTTACAATAGGACAGTGTATCTGCAATGTGGGACTTCGCTGTCTCTAACTTGTAGTTGGCAGGGAGAATCAAGTGCTTTTCAAATGAGATAAGCCCTACTGTATGGTTTTAATAACTAAAAGGTACTTACTGTACCAGAGGAAAACAAAGCTGTAAGATACACACTGGCAAAGTAATCTGTGAACAAATTTGAAGGAACGTGGGTTTTTGACAGAAGTGGCTGCAATGGGAGGGGGAAAGAGGATTTTGAACATCAGGTTTTCCTGGTGCTTTAACTTTACTGAGGCAACACTTCCAGAGCAACACTTGTGTGCTTGAGTTAGTGCATTTCTGTGAGAGTTTCATGAAGTTAAAGTAGAACTGCTTCGTGATTGCTCTCTCACTAACTACCATGTTGTTTCATTGTTGTTCTCCTCCAGAACCAACCAGTGTAGACATCCATGTGGATGGCATTAATGACATTTGCACAAAGGGCGGCGATATTAACTTTGTGTTCACAGGGTTTTCTGTGAATGGAAAGGTTAGACTCCTTTATCTTTATTTATTCCATCTTATGCTAATTCTGCCTTTAAAAAAGCATTCTACTTCAGCTGTGCAAGTTATTTTTATCCATTTATACTCCTGATTTTTCTTAATTTTGACAGGTTCTCAGCAAAGGTCAGACATTAGGTCCTTCTGGAGTCCAGGTTGTACTGAGAAATGCTGGCAGTGACATAAACATACAAGCAACCATTACACAACCTGGAGGAAAGTGAGTGTGGGAGTATGTGGGGTGCATACTTAATTCATCTGTTCATTTACACAAGATTCTTTCAGTTCTGCCCTATTGACTGGTATTATAGTAGTTCTGAAATACGTTTTCTAACATGTGCGTACAGCCTGAATTGTTTTTCTGTAAACAAATGTTTGTGACTATTTCTGAAGAGATATAACCCCTTTCTTGCCTTACAGGTTTGCTTTCTTTAAAGTGCTTCCTGGCGAATATGAAATCTTTGCATCTCATCCTACCTGGATGTTGAAAGAGGTTAGAGCCTACAAAAGTTCTGGTTTACCTGTTTAGCGAGGGCGGATCTGCTAGACCTTGTCTTGATCAGCTAATGTGAGAAAGAGTTTTTATGAGTTGACAAGGTTAATGCAGTTTTCATAAATTTAGTTTAGGAAGTAAAGAAACTGCCTCATGCAGACCCAGTTTGGAGATAGTGGAGCCAGCCAGGGAAAGACTGGCAAATGAGCTCCTGCTTTCAGTCACCTAATCCTATACATTTTGCAGGATCTTGAATATTAGAGCAGATGCTCCGACTCTTCCCTCTCAGCCTGCTTGCTTTCTGAAGAGCTCTGAGATCCCAACCAATTCCTAAATCAGTAAAATAGGAAAAATACTGTTTTGTGAAGGATCTTTGCTTTAGTGTCTTTGTGTTTTGAATAGCCTCTGGATCCTCTTTGAGTACTGCTGCTCTGGCCTCTGTTTCTGTTGTTGAATATGCAGCTTCTGATTGTTATTTGGGTGCTGTAAATGAGGTCTAATGCCTACTTTTGATGAAAATGTGTTTCTGTATTTCAGTCAAGCACAGTGGTGCGGGTAACCAGCTCTAATGCTTATGCTGCTAGCCCCCTGATTGTTGCTGGCTACAATGTTTCTGGGTCAGTAAGGAGCGATGGAGAACCAATGAAAGGGGTCATGTTTCTTCTTTTCTCTTCTTCGGTCACTAAAGAGGTAATGGTGTATCAGTACCTTTTCAATATGAATATGGACCTCATATTTAGCAGCAGTTAAATATCTTCTATTCATATTGCCCTGTTACTCATCTCCGTCCTTCATTGAGCTTGACTTACAGAAAACAAACTGTACAACCTCTCAAGCTGTATTTTTTTTTTTATTTTTTCAACAAGGTCCTTGTAATAAACATATGTGTACATGCTGAGTTATCACATGACCTCCGTGGAATTACTCAGATGTGTAGCACAATAGCCATCTGTTTAAATGTTGGCAAAATTGAGGCTTAAGGTCTATGTAATTTTTGGACATGAGAAATTAGAGAATTCTTTTCATTTCAGCTCTTTTGAACTCTTTGTTATTGTTTTCAGACAACCAGGTTCCTCAGCAGTCAAGCTGTTCAGGGGCATAGAAAACTAAGACCTGAGCTGAAGCAGGCAACCAGTGCAAAATATAATATGCTTCACAGCACGTTATTGATCTGTATATTTGCTGTGGGCCATGAAGATCAAGGGCTACAGTTTTAAGAAAGTATTTTTACAGTTACACCTTTTTGCAGTTAAATGTTGGTTAGTAAATGTGTTCCCTCATGAGGGTGACACTTCATGGTGAAAGACCAGCTTCTGGCACCAGACACAAGATGTTGCCAGGCAAATCCTGAAATTCACTGTACAGTAGATTAAATTTGTCTTTGGCATGAGGTCTTCAATGTTTTTTGCCCTCCTGATGTGAAGACAAAGTTCAGCAGCTTCTATTGCCACTTTCAAAGTGTGTTATGAAATAAGTGTGAAACATTTGGTTGTGTACTGTGATTTTTTTTATGTAGAGTAAAGCTCTCCTCTGTGATGTTAACCTTGTCCACAGAACTGAAATCAGTTAATGTTAAGACACACAGTGCACTTCTAGGGTACTGGGGGATGTTGAATTTCCCAGTTTTCTGTCCTTGTTACCATAAGGTTGATTATTGGTTGTTTTTTTGTCTTTTATCTCTACGTGAATTGTAAGCCATGCTATCAGACTTTGCCTCTAAAATGGTTTTGTACTTCCCTTCCTTCCTTCACCATATAGTATTTTGAACCCTTCTACAACCCCCTGCAATTATTTTCTCTGTTCTCCCATGGGAAAAAAAGTTGTACTGCGTTTATTGCCACAGGATGTTGTGGGCTGCAATACTTCTCCTGTGGATGGATTCCAGTCAAGAGATGAGTCTCTATCCTATTTGTGCAATGTTGTATCAAAAGAAGATGGATCTTTCAGCTTTCTGTCTCTGCCAAGTGGGAAATACACTGTGGTAAGTAGCTAGAAAGTTCATTGCTTGTCTGTCTGTTGGGTCGTTAACTTTCATTTTCTAAACTAGATCATGCATAACTTTATAGCTGTTAAAACAGAAACAGTTGAGATATTTTGAATTGGATGAAATAATTGGAATAGGAACCTCCAACATAAAGTGTATGACAGTGAAGTAAGTTGCTGTGATAGGGCTCTGTGGTGTAGTTTCTGAGGAAGGACTTATTTGCAGATCAGGCTCTGAATTACCTGGATACATTGGACAGTCACAATACAACACTTAGAGACTGCTGGGAGATTGAAAGTTTAATTTGGCTACAGCCACGTTGTGTCCTTTAAGTTCTCTGTTTTCTCTTTTGCCTGTTCTCTTTACTATGTCTGGGTAGCGTGGGAGCATGGTTGTCTGTGCACTGCTAAGAATGATTGTTCTGCATTCTCAGTCTGCATGATCTAGAAGTGGGATTCAACCTTCTCTTTGTTCCTTTAATCCTTCTAGTGACGATATAGTCTCCTATCTGTAAGCTCTTGCACATCTAAATCCTTTGCTGTGTTCTGAGTAGGGAATTACTTTTCTGTCTTTTCAGATAATATCATATGGTTTCCATCAAAGAGTCTTCAAATAACTGCCTTTCTTCTTGTCTCCATTCCTCTGAGTTATTTTTTCCAGGAAGTTTGCAGCCCATTCAGCCCTTCATAGAGGTGTCTGATGGTCATAAGGACATGGAAAACAGTAAAGGAAAACAATTCTGTTGTCATAGCTTCTTAGGAGTCAAAATGATGTGTCTTCTTTCAGATACCATTCTACAGGGGAGAGAGAATTACCTTTGATGTTGCACCATCTAGACTGGATTTCCTTGTAGAGCATGACAGTTTACAGATTGAGGTAAGACATTCAGGGGAAATAATCTTTTTGTGCTATTTGTTCCTATAAAAGCGTAACTGATTTCAACAGAAAGCAGGTGTATTATGGAAAAACTTCTGTGTAAGAAGTTTGAAAACATTTGTTAAACGTACCCTCTTGCACAGCAGGTAGAAGACAATACCTAGTGTTGTGCTGTATTTCTACACTTCAGTCCCTTTTACTGGGAAGAAACAAAATAGGGAAAAACTGTCTACTATGTTCACTTTCATGTCCAGGTTGCAGTCATTCAAGTTTCTTATTCTGATTGTCAAATCTCTGGATAAGGGCCTGTAAGTTTGTGTGTAAAGACATTTGGGCCTTCTGAACTGTTCTGATACAGATAAATTGAGAATCTGTTCCTGTACCTAGAGGAACAATATGCCTGGAGATTGATATGTACTTTCATTGTGATTATCCTGGCAATTTTTTTTCCTAAAGCTGAAAATAAATTTCCTTTATATGTGTGTACAGGGAAAACAGTCAGTGTTGATTGCTGTAGGTGTGTGTTTGCTTTTGCTGAGTAAAGATTAATGTGAACTTTTTTCCCGTTTCAGCCTGTTTTCCATGTGATGGGTTTCTCTGTCACAGGCAGGGTGTTGAATGGTCCTGAAGGAGAAGGAGTTGCGGATGCCACTGTGACTCTGAACAATCAGATTAAAGGTATGCAGTGGCCTTGGTCTTTATTGCTATAGGCTCAAGTACAAGTAAGCTCAAGTACAGGACTAGTGTATGAGGTGGAATTAGCCTTACAGGATAATACACTACTTTTGTTGCAATTTATTTGAAATATTAAAGTGGTTTTCATGCAGTTGATTAATTTTGCATTTTCTGGCTTAGATGAGAGTGTTAGGTGTTGATTTGTTTTGCTGTTGAAAATTTCTCATTTCCTTTCAACCACATGCCAAATTGTGCTTTGAAATATAGAAATGAAGATTGGCCTAGTAAGAAAGCATAATGCTGTTCCTTTGTTGTGCAATGTAAATTAAAAACAGCCTAAAGCAGTGCATGCCTTCTGGCTCTTTTGACACGTAAGGACAGACAGTCAACACATGATCTATGTTTTAACTTTTTTTGTTATTTGTTACAGTAAAAACAAAAGCCGATGGCTCTTTCCGCCTTGAGAACATAACAACGGGTACATACACAATTCATGCCAGGAAAGAGCATCTCTTCTTTGATACAATTACTGTGAAGATTGCACCAAATACACCTCAACTAGCAAATATCATTGCAACCGGGTAAGTACTGGTGTCACGAGGAAAATGTAATTTGATATGTGGACAAGGTCTTGAAAATGGATGGTCCTTTCCCATGTCGTGCCCTTGCGTACTGTTGTCAGAAGGAAAACATTGCTCAAGAAATTCAAGGTAAATAGGAGAGCATGAGTGCAGGATAATGTTTTGTTCACAGTATTTTACTCAACACTAGCTAAGGTTTAGAGTACCCCCTTAGTAACCTCTCCCTTGCAAATGAAGATGCTAAGACATGAGTATATTGAGCAATTTCAGAACGGCATGTGAACCAAGAAAGAGGCAGAAGGGCTTTCTGCTATTGATGTTCCACTTCAGATATCCTCCTTCTGTGCAAGAGTTACATAACTGTACCAAACCTCTACGTTTTATTGCTCACTCTCAAGGTCGTATTTATCTTGTATCAATTGCCTTTTTCTTGTTTGTGATTCTTTGACTGCTGGGTATAAGCCTGTCTAATGATGGCAGGATGATTTTGGGAGTGTAGGCTGAGCAGTTGCTTGCAAATAAAAACATGACATAACATCATGGTGACTTTATTGTAAAATAAGAGATCCCATTAATCGTACATGAATTTGCACTTGCTCCACTGTGTTTGCTTATAGTATCTCTTTGATATGAACACTCTGTCAGGGGAAATCCATTGCAGTTCGTGTCTTAGTACCTCAACATAGTGAGATTTACTTTTTAAGGAAATGTTAAAGCAAGTATTTTTTATGAGCTTTGTCAAATCAAGATATTTATTCTGATGACTGGCTTTTATTTGACAGGTTCAGTGTGTGTGGCCAGATCTCAGTAACTCGTTTTCCTGACACTGTCAAGCAGATTAGTAAATACAAGGTAACCATGATGCCTCAAGACAAGGACAAAGCGTCACTGGTTACAACAGAAACTGACCCTCACGGAGCGTTTTGTTTTAAGGCAAAATCGGGTACATACAATGTCCAGGTAAGAATGAGCTTCCATGTCTTCATTGTAGGACTGTCATGAGGTTTTAGAAGATTTTAAATGTTTAATTTCTAAAATTCAAGAAGCTGAATTTGGATTTTCCTGATCCTTTTCTCCTGTTGGCACTATTTAAACAATGACAGTTATTTCCTTTCCCCCCCCCCTTAATAAGCTGAGATTTCCATGCTCTTGTCCTTTACACTTGTTAAAAGGAGATGAGGCCGTTGGGGTTGAAAGTTCTTACTTCTCTCTCCTCTTAGTTGTGATGTCCCTTAGGTCCTTTCTTACTGTAATATATTATCCCAAGAGTGAAACATGTTAATGGTGTGCCTTTCTCAGGTGCCTAAATGGTTCTTGAGATTATAGGTCACAGCAGAATGTGTAGCACAACCACCATGAATTTTGTGTTGTGAGGGACAGTGCAGGCTGGAAGATAAGGAAGTGCATGGTTATAAGGGCTCTAACTGTCCTTATAGGTAACGAAATAGCCTAATGTAGAAGCAGCAGTACATCCTGAAGTGAAATTCACTCAGGCTTTCGAATCGGAGCTGTTTGGAGGGCTTTTAGTTCAGTTGTATTGCAGTTCTTTGGAGGATTTTTAATATGGAATTTTGAAAAGCATATTTGGGAGGGTGGTTTTGCTTTTCCTGGGATTTACAGTAAACTTCCATTTTCTAATTTCTGATAAGTGGGTTGGACTCAGCAGAGTAGGTGTATTTGGACCGGTATTTAAAAGCTGGTGATGTCTTGATGTCATATACTCTACAGGTAATTATTCCAGAGGCTGAGACCAGAGCAGGATTAGCTTTGAAACCCAAAATGTTCCCTGTTACTGTTACAGACAGACCAGTAATGGATGTGACCTTCTCTCAGTTTTTGGCATCCGTCTCAGGGAAGATCTCTTGTTTAGGTAAGCCAGTTTTGGAAGTGAAGTGGAAACGGGAGCAGAGGACTGTAGCACTGCGTGTGCTGTTTAGATTAAGACACTTGCTGTGGTTAACCCCACCAGCAGATAAGTAAATTAACTTTCAGCACGTAGGTAAAGCAGCTCTTTTTTTGGGAGACCTTACAGCCTAATAAGGTACCTTAATAAAATTTGGAGTAAAGTTATGTACCTGTTTTTAATACTTGCTAAGAATAAGCAAGTGTTCCTTCCTCAGGAAGGAATTCTGACCTGTTTGCTTTCCTCAGAAGATGAATAAGTTCTGGAAGGAAATGCTCCTGGCTGACACTAGGGATACTGTACATCAACCAGAGAAATACTGGAGGCAAGAAGACATTAAAAAAGAAAAAAGCAGTGCATTTTAAAACCTGTAGGATAGAGGCTCAGGCTGTTAACAGAAGCTTACAATGTCTGTTTTCTTTCATAAGATCTTTGTCTTTATTTTAGTCTAAGGTCCTGTCTCCTGCTATTTTTCTTGATTACCCACTGATCTGAGCAAATGGTGATTGGAGCTTGACTTTTGTCAGTTTTACCCCTTCCTTTTTCCTCTCTGAATCCTCTCTGCACTTGGTGTTCTGTCTCTCACGTGTTTTCTGGGCCCTGTAGTTTTCTGCAGAGCAAGGTGGACCCAGGGATTTAATGTTGGCCTCTGGATGTTAGTTGCCATTAGATAGGAGTACGATTAACAGTCTGAAACTTCCTGAAGAATGCAAAAAAAAGCACTGGTAAACATGTGCTTAAGAAATAAGAGTAAGAATGTTAATTGGAAGTGTTCTCTGCTGGAAGAGAGTAATCATTTTGATCTTCGTACGCACGAAGCTTGCTTGGAGTGAGGATTTTGGAGGCAAAGCTGACGAGCCAGAGCGCAGTCTCATTGTCTGCTGTCTTTTCTGCACAGATGCTTGCGGTGATCTGGTGGTGACATTACAGTCTGTGAGCCGCCAGGGTGAGAAACGCAACCTGCAGCTCTCTGGAAACACAGACTCAGTGGCCTTCACATTTGAAAATGTGCTGCCTGGCAAATATAAAGGTAGGATTTGCTTGAAGTGTTACCTTAGTAGCTGAATTTTTGACTTTATCTGTATGCTTCTGTTATTATGGATACCATTTTCTTTATGCCCAACATGGAGCTACTTCTGAAACTTGAGAGAATAAATTGTTTTCCAGGGAAAGGTGTAGAAGGAGTATATACAAATCACTCTTTTTATACATGAGTCAGAATATCTTCCTGTCAGGTGAAATTGGAGTTAGATTCTGATGTCCTCTAGGCTTCTTTGACTATCACAATGATAATGCACATTGTAGAACTTTCCAGGGTGACCAGACTTCATTATTCCTTTTTATAATAGCTTTTCTGTTAGGAGATGTGCTGGGTTCCTGGTGATGCTGCAGTGCTGTGAGCCAGGTCTGTTACTGCAGTCATTGTATATCTGGCTTTGAAGATTATCCTCAGGGAAGTGAGAGTAATACAAGCTTTTTGTACCACAAAACCTGCCTTTATTCACACAGTTTTACATTACTAAAATGCTTTGTGTGGTGTGTATTCTAGTAAGCATTGTACATGAAGACTGGTGCTGGAAGAATAAGTCTTTGGAGTTGGAAGTTATGGAGGAGGATGTTTCAGGAGTAGAATTCAGGCAAACTGGATATATGCTGAGGTGCTCTCTTTCTCATGCAATTACACTGGTACGTAGGTAACAAACGTCCTTGTATTTTTTTTTAAATTAACTTAGGTTGGATTCTGCTTGAAATCAAGGCTTTCTCATGTCTCTAGGTAGAGTCATGCAGCACAGCAACATTGATGTTTAGAGTGCTTTGAGATTTGTCTCTTAGATTTGGTAAAATGCTATAAAAAAGAAGCATTGATATGTCTTTAGGCAAATTCTGTTTTCATTCTGTTGTTTGCTTGTTACTAATAGTGAATTGTGTTGTGGCTTCACAGGAATTTTATCAGGATGGAAATGGACCAGAGAATGTTGGTGTTTATAATCTGTCCAAAGGAGTTAATAGATTCTGTCTTTCAAAGCCAGGTAACAGCTCTAAAATGTTAGTTTAAAAAACAAAAAAGAACCAGTCAACTAATACTGCTGGGAATTTAAAAAAAAAAAAAAAAAACCCACAAAACCAAGCTGTTGTGGTTTCTGAGGTTTCTGAGAGACATTGCTTTATTTATATCTGTGTATAAGTGCTCTGTTCCAAGTTTTTAGAATTCTCTTACTATTTAGTCCTTCACCTAAACATAGATTCCAGAAGTAAAATAAGGTGTTTTTTATTCTGACTCAGTGAAGGGCTTTGATCTTTGATGAATGAGGAGCATGTTAAAATAATCTTGTTCATATGGGTTCTATTTGTCAGTCTCATTAGAATGTGATTGACAAATAGAAATTTAATTTCAATACAGGATTCTTCAGAGATAACTGTTAAAAGTACCGCAGGATTATCTATAACAGGAAAAAAGAATGGTTTAAAATTAGATTTTTGTTTTTTCTCCTTCTAATGTCTTAGGGCTAATTCTCTGTTACGGCCTCTTAGCAAAACAGTTAACAAATATGTTTGGGTTTGATTTGGTGTTCAGCTTTGAACTTTTTATCCTTAAAGCCAATGGTCTTGTCCACAATACAACAATACAACGATTGTATAATCAGTGAAACGGTGTCTGCTGTGGGACCATAATTGGTTACTTCCGAGCTTGTTCGGCTTGTTGTGTTTGTAGTTGCATTTATCTGTAGTGATGCCTGTATCAGTGCACACGAGAATCCCTGTGCAGCTTCCAGGAATGATCTATGACTGAACAGAGGTGAGTTAATTTACAAGTGTCTGTGTGAAAGGCAGTAGATATATAGTCAAGTTTTGTAATTGTTTCTATACCTCAGGTCTCATGCAATCTTAAGAATTCAGCCAACACAGTAAGCTTGAATTTTTTCAGCGGATCATTCTTTGACTTAATGTTTACAGGTGTATATGAAGTGACCCCACGTTCCTGCCACCAGTTTGAACATGAGTATTATACTTACGACACGTAAGAGCAAAATCAGTTTTTGATCTTATGCCTACCCGTATACTTTCATAAAGCTTCCTTCTGCTGCAGCTGCTTTCTTTCAGCAATTCAGGATGTGTTGCTATGACTGTCTCTAACCAATAGAGGGAAGCTTTAGCAAAGTGTATCAGATGTGTTCTCTTACCCTTTCTAGTCTTAAAAAAAATAATCAGCTTTTAAATAGGCTTTAAAGATGCTTTTGCTACTTTAAATGGAGGTTTTTGTCAGCCTTCTGTCTGTTTAATGTTGGGTTTGCTTTGTAACAAAGCAGAGATATTTCAGTGGAAACTGTTGATCACTTGTGAGAGTTGAAATGCAAAAGACAGGATGGTGATTTAATTCTACTTACCCCAGTTTTTGCAAGCTGAATAAATATTCACCCTAATCACAAGTAAGCAGTGCTGATCTTCCTAAGTCAACCACGTTTTATTAGTTATTTATAGGTTATGGTCTGGCGATGTGTTTAATGGCTCTTTGCTCCCAAAAAGAGGGTTTCTGCTCCCAGACTACTTCTAATTCATTAACATGGCAGAAAATGAATTCAGCATGAAAATCTGATTCACTTCTGCTGTGTTAGTAAATTAAAAGTACTTCAAAGAGAGATGTGCCAAACATGAGAGCCTGTACAAAGTGAGTGAATGTATAGAAGCAGAAACCCTCTTTTGGCAGCAAAGCACCATTACACTTGAGGCATCTTGGTGAGCTATGTCCAATATAACAAACTTTTGAGCGTCCTTCTACTGTGTGTAAAGGGTTTGTACATATGAAATCAATCAAATCAGCTTTAGCTTGAGAGAAAGCAGGTGGCCCAAAGGAAGGAGTTGATTTGGCCAATGTCATGCAGTGGTTTGGGGTTCAGAGCTGGAAAATGCTCCCTTTCCAATATGCTGTCATCTCAGCACTACAGCTTTGCTGCGTATTTGGTATGTTGTCTTTTATAAAGCACTCAAATTTAGGCATGGGAGTACAAACTCTACTGAATAGGTTTTGGTTATTTTCTTTAGGAGGAGGACCTTGAATTCATTTCTTTGTTACTTTGATTTACAGGTCCTCTCCTAGTATCCTGACGCTCACTGCAGTTCGACACCACGTCCTTGGCACGATTGTAACAGATAAACTGATGGATGTGACTATTACCATTAAGTAAGAACAAAGAAATCTTTGGGCTATAAAAAGGGAAGATAAAGACATCTCACTCATGAAGTTTTACTCTGGTTTTAATACCGCAGTGGCTGCTTTCTAAGGGGATGGCATTCAGCTCTAGACTGCAAGAAGTTTTTATGTTAAGCTGTGCTTTGAGTTTTTTGTAGATAGGTAAATAATTCCCAGCCCTCATTTTGAACATTGTCACTTCAATATTTCTACTTGTGTGACATGGTAAAAAGGAATGATTTTCTGAGTGTTCTAACACTTTAATGAACTGAAATTTCAAAATTCAGAGGGTATTGTTTCAGCTTAGGTCTGAGCTCTTTAGCACTGGCATCTATTTTTTTCCTTTTTTGTTTCCTCAGAATGAGAATCTGCTGCTTTAGAGCATTGTTACTGGTGTGAAGAGGGTTATAAAAGGAAAACCACGCAGAGTGATTACACACTAATGCGCCAATTTACGTTTAGCTGAACAGACAGCTCACTAGGGAGCACTGATTTGTGAACAGCTTTAATTGTATGAAGTGCCAGATCTGCCTGGAAGTGTCTGGTAGTGATGAGCCCTTTATTAATGCTCTGCCGATGTCCACTTGTTCTAGACTATGGGTTCTAAAACTTTTTGTGTAGAAAACATCTTTTCAGAGAACAAATTACCTGCAGAGCATTGCTTCAAGTTCCCTGAGTTTAATGAACCTGTAACTACAACTACAACAGCTGGGAAAGAAACACTGAGATAGCAGAGAGCTATCAGGATTTTAAAACAGCTTAGTGAGGAGGTGAATATTACACCAACCTTCTAGTCTGATTAGGTTTTCTGAGACAATTAGCAAGTGCTTTGAAGGCAGCTGAGTTGCCACAGACCATCGCTGTTCAAGCCTGCCTGAAGCTTTTCAGCCAAAGTCCAATTTGTAAAATGCCATCAACATAAAAGGAACAGCTCTGGATTTGAAAGCAAGACAGTTGTTTTTAAAAGTCCATGCTTGTGTACCAGGTCCATGGTGGTGACCTGTTAACTTTCCGTTAATAATTAACAGAAACCTAACCAAAAATAAAGCTGATTCTTAACCATTTTTGATGATGGCTTGTTATGTTTGAAAAATGAAACTATAGTAATTTATTATTAATATCATGAGACTGTATACATGTCTCTGCAGATTTTTAACAGGCTTTAAGACAAAAAACATTTTTGGATACATTTTTGTATTTGTAGTGTCTGGTACTTGGTGCAAAATCAAGACTCTTTACTTAAGCAAAACCTAAGCTAAGCTAAGATGGTGGACTCTTCAAAGTGGTTGAGATGTAGACTTGTGGCACTGACTCTGCAGTGGGATGCTGAGGCACAGCACTGGGGAGGAGGATGCAACAGGTTGAAAGGTTATCGCCTGATGGGGCAGAATTTGCGACAGTTGCAAATAGATCCTTTCCTGCTAGGCCAGGTAGGATACCTCTAGTCCCTATGAACGAGCCTTTTCAGTAGTAACTGATTGATATGGAGGTTAAAAGTTTTAGTTATGCTTGGAATAAAGAGCAGAATTAAATAGGAATGGATTAAAAAAAAATCTTGGGACTTGTCTGCTGTGATATAAAGACAGTAATTAACAGATATAACAAGCTCTTATCTCTCCATATGAAAGGAGATGATTTTGTTTTCTCCTCTATATTTTTAGGTCTTCCATTGACAGTGAACCTGCCTTAGTTTTAGGGCCCTTGAAGTCTGTTCAGGAGTTACGTAGGGAGCAGCAGCTGGCAGAAATTGAGACCCGTCGACAGGAGAGAGAAAAGAAGGGTCAAGAGGAGGAAGGAACAAAGCCACCAGTGCAAGAAATGGTGGAGGAACTCCAAGGACCGTTCTTATATGAATTTTCTTACTGGGCAAGGTAATACCAAGCTCCAATGGACAAGGTGTATTCGTTGTACTATTGTCTGGTGTTTCCACCAAACAGAATAGTGATATATTCCGTATAGGAACGAGCTGCTGTACGCATGCCTGTGCCTGTACTTGTTGACTGTCAGCTAAATGGAAACTAGTGCTACATAATATGAATTCTGCTTAGGTTATTGTTGATATTTTTTCCTTGGGGTATTTAGATGGATTCTTGGGTCAATATGCAGTACTCTCTTCTACATGAGAGCTGCTAATTCCATGTTCTTCTAATTGTATCTTTTTTGTGTTTTCTAGATCTGGAGAGAAAATTACTGTGACACCGTCATCAAAAGAGCTGCTTTTCTACCCGCCTTATGTGGAAACAGTTGTTAGTGGAGGTAAATATAAATAAAATTTAGTTTAAAAGGAGTAGATTTTTAAGGCAGAAATGTGTCTTTATAGATGAACACATGAATACCTCTTCAAAAGTAATGTTAAGTAGGTTTCAATTACAGCTATTTCTTTGGGCCAGTTTCACTCTGGAATTTGGAAGCATGGGTGTTTGGTAGAGGGTGCAAGTACAGCTTTTATCAGCAGAATATGCCTCCAAGTGCTGAACGACCACCTGGCACAAGAGGGAGGACTAGATTTCTGGATATTACACCAGATTCTCAAAATTATTCGTATTATTCTCATCTAGAAAAATAGTCATGAAAAGCAATGTTTGAGTTTGTTACCAAATGCAAGTTTCTGTTAAGTTTTCTTTGTAGTAAATTACAATAATAAAAATATTCACAAAAAAGTAAACCTCAAAATTGTGAGGGTTATCATCATTCAGTTGATGCTACTTGTTAAGTCAGTGTCCATCTTGCCCTCAGGTTCCTAAGTGAACATACTTTTTTTGAAATCACTAGAAAATGTTAGGTACCCCTTTTTATGCACACCTTTGTTATGCACTTTTTTAAATACATTGGAAGTGGGGAGGAAATAAATTTTACTTATGTCATTAAATGTGACATATGCTGACCTGAATTTGATCTCAAAAAATTTTGTGAATGCTCAGTGTAATATCAGCTAGAAGGGAATGTTGATGGAATCTTCTCAGTGTGGCTGCAGTATATGTAACAATGAATCGTCAAATCATTTAGCAAATGCACAATGTTTGTTTTGGAAATGTGCTTATAGCTTTGGAACTTAGTTATTGATTTTGTGAATGTTCAGATGTTTTAGAGTGTGTTGAGAGGCCATACAATTACGTGGGTTGATCTCTTATTCTAAGGTAAAAGAACATCAACTGATCACTTTGGAAGTAGTTAAACTCTTGCTGTAAGACAGGATGGTGAGTGCATTTTTGACTTTCTTGTTTGTCTTAAATCCCCTTTGCAATGACCAAGAGAGTTGTCCTGGAAAGCTGATAGAGATTCATGGAAAAGCAGGCTTATTTCTGGAAGGGCGAATTCATCCTGAATTGGAAGGTGTTGAGATTGTCATTGGTGAAAAGGGAGCAACTTCCCCTCTCATCACAGTTTTCACTGATGACAAAGGTGCTTACAGGTAATTAACAGATTTGTTTTGATCTTTTGGATTCCTTAATGAAAGTGCAACGGTGACTTGACAACATGTGTGTGATATCCAAGTGCTTTTTTTAGAACAAGTTCTTCTTTCCTTTTATTTGAAGTGTCGGTCCGCTCCACAGTGACTTGGAATATACAGTTACTGCTCAGAAAGAAGGGTTTGTTTTGACTGCAGTAGAAGGAACAGTTGGGGACTTCAAAGCTTTTGCTCTTGCTGGGGTGACGTTTGAGGTAATGTTCTAAACACTTTGAGTTCTGAATGAATCGTGTGCGTAATTAAAGCTAGACAGGCAAAAAAAGTTAACTCATGTGTCCCAGCCAAACACAAATGGGTGTGGAATTTTGGAATAAGAACTTATGGGGAAACAAATCTCAGTGGATGACCTTAGTTGTAGATCATGGTTTGCCATGCAGAAGATATTTTGCTGGGTTTATAGAGTGAAAGTTAGAGCCTGCAGTCCAAAAGACTGGCTTTATTTGCTTTTGTAGAGTTGGACTGCCTTCTCTTACTGAGCCTTATCCCTCAAGGTGGTTTTTTCCATGTACAGTCTGGTCCATCTAGTGCCTGGTTCTAGTCTTTGGGATACTTTGTTCTGACCCCCAGTGTGTCCTGTTAAGTGATAGAGAGTGACAGTTCTGGTGTCGGATGCTACATGTGGCTGTGACTGCGCAGATGTGGAGGGCACAAACTTCTGTAGCCCTGCGGTCTCATGGGGGGGATACTCTGCAGATGTGGCCGGTTTTCTTCTGCTTACAGCCGAGTGCTCAGAGCCAGCACATCTGTGCGCTCTGTAAGGGGCTTCTGAATGAGCCCTTCTTCATACTTACACTTAGAACTATTGCTTTTTCAAAAACAGATCACATCAGAGGATGACCAGGCTCTTGCTGGAGTTCTTTTGTCTCTCAGTGGAGGGATGTTTCGGTCCAACCTCCTTACACAGGATAATGGCATGCTGACTTTTTCCAATCTGGTAAGGTGAAATTGATCTGAATGTGGCCGCATGTGTGAGGCTGTGTTACTTTGCTCTCCAAAACAGGGATGCTGTTGGCTCTCTTCAGTGGCAGGAGAATGTATCGTCTCCTCTGAAATTGTAACCCACAATGGGAGATGTAGGTCCCTCAGAGTGGACAGCATTTAAAATCTTAGCAAGGGAAAGATGTGAAATCCAACCTGGCAAGAGATTTCTCCCCAACAGGTAGCAGCTGATGTTGATTGATCTCAGTTACTAATTTCCAGTCTGTAAACACGAAACAAGCTAATTTGTTGATGATCATTTAAGAGTCTTTAGAGGAAAGAAATCAAATTAGATTATTGATCTGTACATGTGTGTAGACACGCCTGAATAAGTTTCTGTGCAGACATCTTTATCTCCTGGTTACTATACTGTCCTTGAGGTCTTGTGGTGAGGTTTTAGGGTTATAGTTTCCTTTCCCTCTTCAGGCTTCATCACCTGGTAGAGTTCCATTGGTTTATTGTCCAGTGTGCTCCCTGTTTTTCACTGCTGATGTGTTCTGATCAATTTAACCTACAGTTGGGACAGAGAACTTTAACTCTTTAGGGAGCTTTTCCAGAAACATAGTTGTTTGGAGTTGGTGAATTTTCGTGTCACTATCAGTAAACAACTTGTTTTATGCCTCTTTCCAGAGCCCAGGACAGTATTATTTTAAACCCATGATGAAAGAATTTCGCTTTGAACCATCGTCACAAATGATCGAAGTGCAGGAAGGACAGAATCTTAAAATTCAAATAACTGGTTACAGAACAGCTTACAGGTCAGTAGAGCTGAAATGCCATGCGAAATGCTACATACTGTATCAAGATGCGTGATAGAAAATGTGTGTTTTCTCCTGATGCACCTCTGTTCTGAAGGTTTGGAAGGTACTTTCAAAGGCATAAATAAACTTTATTATGCCATGTAGAAGTGTTGTTTTTTTTTTTTAGCCTTTTCTCATACATATGAGTATATAGCTAAGCCCAGATGGCAGGACAGGAGAAACATTGCTATGAAAGCACTGTCAGTGGCACTGGAAGTGGCTTGTGCTATGTCCAGTGGGATAGGAGGGATGGAAGGCCAGTTCAAGTATCTGTCCTCTAGGCCCCTCCTTTCCTTGCCCTCAGAGGTAAGTGCTGCTGTTCATGGAGGTCAAGAAACTTGGATTCCTGAAATTGTGCTCTGAACTGGAGCTAATTGTAATGCTTTAAACAGTTTTACATGTACATTATAAATTCCCCTTTTCTTCTCCATGCTATGCTAATTATATTAAGTACTTTTTCCATCAGTTATAACAATAAAATGTCTTTAAAACGTGCATTAAAACAGCATCCACACATCTGCAGCAATTGGTTCTCTTTATACCTCTAGCTGTTATGGCACAGTTTCTTCTTTAAATGGAGAGCCTGAGCAGGGAGTCTCAGTAGAAGCTGTGGGGCAGAAGGATTGTAGCATCTATGGAGAAGACACGATAACTGATGAAGAGGGCAAATTCAGGCTACGTGGCCTTCTGGTAAGGATTAGAATGCTGTCATTTACTTTTATGTTAGTGTGATAATAGAGCAATAAAATGTATTTTATTAATTAGCTACCGATTTCTGTTTTCCCGACACATTTGCTAACTCAGATTCCCCTGAATTTCTCTGTGTTAGGAAACGCTGTCAGGTAGTGAACAATCCTTCTAGTAAAGGGGAAAAATTAGTATAAGTCTGTGGAACTTGCTGCCAGCACACTAGGATGGCCTCCTGCAAACACTGAAGAGTTGCCATGACGAGGCCCCTGTCACTGTACTGAATGTGTCTAACGGGTGTTCAGCAGTGTTCAGGTGTTATAGCAGGGAATTTTCTTAGGCAAAAGAATTTGGAGAAGCGTTTAGTTTCTCTTGTGAAAATGCTGTGACACTGTATTTTTAGCAGGATATTGGGTGTATGTATGATGTTGATTGTAAAGCATGTAGGTGAAGTCAGCTGTTCTGCAGGAAATGTGGAAGCTGAATTTATGGGACCGCTATGTATGGAGTAAGCAATTATGCTGAAGCAAAAAGCAGTTTTTGATCAGGTTTTAATCCTGTTTAATATATTTTCTTTCTAAGTAAAACAGTTCACAGCAAATGATTTCTTTTAATACTGTAATGTAATAAACTAGCCCTTTTGTATTTGCTGGCAGTAAACAGTCCTAATGGTGTTATTCAGTTAAATTTTCCATTTGGGATAAGTAAAACTTTAACTGGATAGACTCAGATGTGTTTGTGGTGTATCTTAAATGGAATGTTAGAAAATTCTCTTACTGTCTTCTAAAATTGAAGTATGTATATTCAGTGTTGGGATTTATCACCTGAATGTTGCTTTTAGCCTGGTTGTGTGTATCATGTCCAACTCAAAGCTGAAGGCAATGATCACATTGAAAGAGCTTTACCACAACATCGGGCAATTGAGGTAATTTTTTCTTTTTTTTGTAGTACCACTTAAATATGAAATGCATCTGTCTAGGCATTTCTGTTCTGTCAGCAGCAATGTAGTTGAATGCATTCTGTTTAGACAAGTGGCTTTCAGCAAGTTAGCTCCCTAAATATGGGCCCCATATTGTGTGTCAGCACTAGAACTTAAAATTGAAGTGAGATAAAGCCCAAACAGTAAACAAGTGAAAAGGATTCTTTCACAGTCACAAAAACTATGCATCAAGAAACAAGAGAAGGAATGTATAGAATACCTTTCAACATTTCTTTATCATGTGGGAGACAGCACAAGCGGCTTGAGGATGTCACAAATTGTCATATTATCCTGTTTTCATATTAAGTTATTGATTGGTAGATAGATTTTGTTATACTTTGTTTGGTCTAAATCCTGCAGTCTTGATGTAGGTGGAGTTGTCATTCAGACTAGCAAATCTTTATAAAATGTAGTAATAACTTTGAATTGAAAACTGATGAAATCTTGTTAAATATTCCTGCATCATTATGGTTCAGATTAGCTGCCTCGCATTTATCTCTTGACATCCAGCAAAGGTTAATTAGCCTTCGTTAGCTGTCCAGAAGTTTTGAGTGGGAGATGGTCATTATTTGACCAGGATGCCCTCCTTTGCAGCAAAACAGAAGGGCAGAAATCTTTCAGGTCCTTAGTGTTTTCTTGCTAAGAGTGCTTGCTGGTTGGGAAGGGGAGGTGAATGGCAACCCAAATTCCAGAAAGTCATATGAAGGTTATGTACTGCAAGTGACAGCTGTATGCAGTAGCTTGTACTAATCGTATCCTGGCTAGCCTGCCATTTTCTCCGGGAGAGAAAAGCATTTGAAAGACACCTGCAGGAAAAACGTACTGCCTCATTGGCGCCGACTGCTGATGTGGCACCTGGCCTAGCCGTAACCTGTCTGTGCTGTGGTTATTGTTTGAGTGAATGTCTTGCCTTACTCTGATCGGAGTTCAGGTTTAGAATGCAAATATTTTGTATTTAAACAGTTTTGAAGAATATGAAGTTATGTATTTTTGAAGTAGGTTATATTGTAATATGAGCATATTCCTCATTAACGAACTGTATAAACATCCTGGCATAGTAATATGCATCGCTCAGCACAGATGCAAAATACTGAGACCAGTGTTCAGACATCAGGCAATCCTGCGTATGTAGCTCAACCTCTTCCAAAGTAATGCGTGTTTTTGATACTTTGCCATTTTTACTTTAACTTAAGGCCATCAGCCTTGTGCTGATCATGCACAAGTCTAATTGTGAGCTGTGCAGCCTGGAGGAAAAGTACTTTCAGTTGGAAAGCCTTCAGGCTTCCATGTGGTTAGTATAGAACAAAATTCACTTGTTTAAAACGATGAGCAATATTTGTGTTATGCTAACTGTCCTTTGTTAAGTGTTCCTCTGTTGGTAAAAACATGAATGTGTTTTAATGTTGCAGGTTGGGAACAGTGACATTGATGATGTTAATATTATAGCATTTCGGCAAATTAATCAATTTGATTTAAGTGGAAATGTAATTACATCTTCTGAGTATCTCTCCACATTATGTGTAAGTTCAAGCCTTTTATCTTAGTCAATTGTATTTGCCGTTGATTTCCCAATGGTTTTTTGCAGGGTCACTGGAAATTTTTGAGTAGCCAGAGCACACAGTTAATTCAAATTATGACAAATACTTAAATGAAGGTGTGTTTGAATTTGAGATGGAATTAAGATTCCAGTGTTCCTCACTGCTTTGCTTTAATGTTTCCATTTTTCATGGGAGCATGTTGAAGAAATGCTTTCTCACGGTGGCCTGTACATTTCTGGATCTGCTTCCCTGATTAGAGTTGTCCTGTCCATGGGGAGAGCAAGACACTAGGAGTGAAACGAATCCTCTGTATCAGAGAACTGCATTAATTCCTGAAATACTTGGAATTTTTGACACCTATGTCTGCTAGCAAGAAGATACAATGTGAATGCAATGATACCATAGGACACATGAATTTAGAAGTAGAGTTATAAGAGAGAATATGAATCAAATAGTAAAGCTGATGTTTTCAAAATTCAAAAGACTGCCTTGTGATATGAAAAAAACTTGCTGAACACCTGTGATCCTTTTGGCTCAGGGTGCAAATGCTGGAAGGATCTGCAAGAGGTGTTAGTGTGATAAGAGTTATAGTACCATTTCTCAGGTTTAAAAGCTTCTTGAAATGTTACCTACAAATATAAATGCAGTGCCTGGATTTCTTTCAGACTAGTCTGTTATGCATCTCACCTGTCAAGATCTCATTGCTAAGCTGTTGGGTTTTTTGGGGGACATCCAAAGGATCCAACACTCAGAGCAGGTGTGAAGGAAAAATGTATCACCTTACTGAAGTGCACCTGAGCAAGCTTCCTGTCTTTCTGGGGAAATTTAGACTCTTACAGCTCAGCCTAAGCAAATAGGAATGGATGTAAAACACTAATTACATGGAAGTTATACCTGTTTCATATGAGGTTGGATCTTGCATTGCAAGTAATGCATGTGTGCTGTTGATGGGTGCATATCATCACCCTTGATTTCAAGGCCGAAAGTTTTGTCTTTGAAAGATGTGCTAAGACTTGATAAAGACACAAGCGAGTGGTTTTGTGATCTCAGTCTGGTCCCTTCTGGTTGCACGGGCTTGGTGAAACAACTGGAAATGCTCTGGTGAGCTGTGATTGGAGCTGCAACCACAGTAGCACTGGGTGGAATCAATGAAGATTTGCTTGGGCTGTGTCTGCAAGGAGAGCTGAGTCTAGGCAAGTATCTGATCCAGAGGTTTATAAACAATGGCATAGATGATAGAAGGCTGCTTCAGAGTGGTCCACAGAAACCATCACTTTGCTTTCTGTGTCCTCTGGAGGAGGCACAGTGGCTGATCAACATTTGTGTGTACTTTTTTTTTCCCCCCCTGCCGCTACCAGCCTTATTCAGCTGTGATACAGCCCTCTTTTAGTTCTGCTGGTTTCTGAGAAAACGCTGTTTGCTGAGGACTTTGGGCCTATTCTGTAACTTGAGGATGTCTATCTTGTTAAATAAGTACAGGGAAATTGAAATCAAGCAAAATGAGCCTATCGGAGAAATAGAAACAACGCCCAGCTGCAAATTGTTGTGAAACTGCTGGGATTATTTAAAAGAATTACTCAGTTCTGGTTGATGAACAGCACAGACTACTTTTAATACACTAGATACATGAAAATGTTAGACATCACTTGTTCCTAAATTATTCTGAATTTTGTAAAAAGACTGTTTCTGTGACTTTTCACATCCCAGATTAGAACAATTCCAGGTGTTCTTATGTGACAACTTTCTGTTTATAAAACACATGATTAATTTTGAAGTGCTTTTATCCCTTAAGATGGGGGATGTCTGAAATATCTATTGTGCTGCAGGCTCAGATACACCTTGTTTATGTTTTCTTCTTTCCCTCACAGGTGAAGCTTTACAAAAGTGAAAATCTTGACAACCCAATTCATACGGTCAACTTAGGCCTATCCCTATTTTTCCATTTCCCACCACTGCTCCGAGATGGAGAGGTAAGAATATTACTGAATAATTAGCTTAAGTCACTTTAATTTTTTTTTTTTCCCTAAGTACACCAAAGTGTTACATCTGGTGTGCCTGCAGTACTGTATTCATGCTGGAGTGACCAGTGTCTCAGAAGATTTGAAGCCTGTTAAACTGACTTTTGCCTTTAAATCTAATTTTGTCTCAGACTGCAACTGATGCTGTAGATTGAGTGTATTTTTTACCCACAGAATTACGTGGTGCTTCTGGATTCTACGTTGTCTAAATCACAGTATGACTACACCCTGCCTCAAGTTTCATTCACTGCTATTGGATACCATAAACACGTAACACTGATCTTCAGTCCCACTGTAAGTACAGAATACTTAAATGTTCAAGTGTTCGCCTTGAGAGCAGTGTCTGATAGTGTGGCCTGCATGTATTTTGTGGTCTTGGCCAAACTTTCTATTAATGTAAATATAAAGAGGTTTATGAGAGGCATTAAAGTGACGATTAATTTGGATTTGGCCACATTTAAGGCGTCAGGCAGGGGTGTAATAACCTGTGTTATGGGAGGTGGGTAAGGAGTTCAGGCAGGAGTTGTAGCCATGACACTAACTGAAAGGTTGCAATAATGGAGGCTGAAGGAGAAAGATAGGATTGTTGTCAGAATTTCTTTAAGGACTTCTATGTCTATGAAAGAAGTATCACCAGGCCAAAAGAGACCTTCAGTTGCTGGAGCTGAGGTAGAGGGTAAAGCAGAGGGGTTTCAAACTAGCATCAGAGGAAGACTTCTCCCTTGACAGAGAAGTGTCTTTGCACTTCTGAACAGTGCAGTCAATGTAGTGAAGTGTTTGTTCTGCAATACTTAAATGATCTATTTCTTTTCTGCATCACTGCATGTTCAGATGCCAGGGAAACATGAAGCAGCAGTTACAAATGAAAGATGCAGATGTGCCTGAAACATTTTGTGCTAGTATGGCTGCTGTAGGGTTCTCATTGGGATGACAGGGGTTTGGGCAGCATGTGACAGGTAAATCAAAGCACACCAGGTTGACTGTAAAGTGGAGACTGACCATCAGTGAATTAGCTTTAAAAAACCAACAAACCCCAGGAGGAAGGTAATGGGTGAATGAATCTGATCAAGGGGACTGCTTTGAAGTTGAAGGTAAAGTGAATCTTAGAGCAGCATTTGGAAGGAAGTCAGATGGGAAGGGCCGGATGTGCCATGTGATCCTGTTGCTGATATTGCTTAAAGCTGAAGGGTTTCATAGTTGAAAAGACTGTTTAAAAGAAAGAAAAAATCTATGGTCCCCACTGTTTTCAGAGAAAGCTGCCTGAACAAGATATTGCTCAAGGATCTTACATCGCATTACCACTGACACTGCTTCTGTTGTTGGCTGGTTACAACCATGATAAGGTAGGTCATGGGTTTTTTTGTCTTACTGAAATATTGTCCTATCAATTAATACTTCATACTATGTTAAGTGTTTGTTGAGATGATTATCCAGACGGAGATGCAGTCAGCAGTCAGCTTATGTGACAGGTTTTAAGAAAAGCCACAATGTAACAAGTGTTTGGACCATTACCATCCTTTAAAAAAGCTTAGTGTGAAGGTCAGTTCCTGTACCATGTCTGAATTTTTTTCTTCTCATTTCGTGGCTCTGGGAAAAAAAACAATACAGCACCATTCAAATTCAGATGATCAGCGTCAATGATAATAGGAATGAAAATAATTATTTTATTGGCTTCAGGAGCAATCAGACTGGAAAAAAATCTTGCAAGTCATTGAGTCTGGTCTCTCTAGCTTTACACCCTCCCTAGTGAAAAGCTCTTGAAGAATATAACTACCTGCTGTTTTTTTGCTGCCGTTTTCTGATATCTTTGTAGATGTGCCATTTACATGATAGATTCTGTTTGGGAATGCACAAGGCTAAAGGACATTATAATTCAGACCTTACATATTACTGTCATCACAAGCTGCTTCCCCTTTTTTTTTTTCCCAGCTTATTCCCTTGTTGCTACAGTTGACAACTCGACTGCAAGGAGTGCGTGCTCTTGGACAGACAGGTTCTGACACGGGTGGCTCAGAGGATGCAAAGAGACAAACGAAAAAACAGAAGACAAGACGGACGTGAAATGAAAGGAGTGATTGCATGAAGTGGTGCTCTGTCAAAGTGGAGCCTGAGGAAGCGAAGCCACTAAAATGCATTTTTGCATTTTTGTTGAATTTGTGTACTTCACATTTTCTTTGTTGCTACATGAGCGCCACTTGTTGCACTAGCTCCATTTTGGTTGTAAATTTTCTATGGAATCTATAGATTTCTGTATTGTAAAGTAATGAAATGAAAGCCTCTGTTGTCACTGTGAGTGCATCTCCCATACTTGAAGAAAATTAATGAATTTTTTTCCTCTTCAGTGGAACAGGTCATGCTGCCTTTGTTAATGATTTGTGAAAGCCGTGGTAATAGACTGCTTGATGTCACTTTCAGTCTCTAGATTTTGGGATCATTTTTCCTTACCTTTTGAAATACCCACTTTACAGAAGCAGCATATAGGGATTTTACTAAATCAGTGGTGCTTGAAACAACAAAGTTTTTGGGGTCATACATGAACTGAATTACATCTTTGGCACTTCCAGTCCAGCAGCTTGCTTGAAAAGTCTGTCATCTGCACAGCTGTGATTTCAGTTCTTTTCCAGTGATAATGTTATCTTTGATTAAAATCAAGTTTTTGCACAATGAAGACAAATTGATAATGTTGGGTAAGTTCTGATGATCCTACTGCAAAAGCAGTGTTTAAATTTCTGTTTCATATACATTATGATCTCTTTAGACCCCCAGTATTCCTGAAGTGACTCCAGCTGGTTGTACTGTTCTTTCCAAAGCTGTACTGTGTTGCCAGTCATACCCATTTGCCTGTGTGGCTGTCACATCTGCTCAGGCCATGTGCAGGTTTTTTGCCAATTGATGATTAATTTTTTTAAATTTTTTATTACTTTTTTTTTTTTACTTTTTTTTTTTAACTTTAAGAAATGTGAGCTTTTCAAAATCTCCGATATGTATAGTCCCAATAATGTCTGTAACAGGCTCTCTTGATTTTTCGTTGAAGTAGACAGTTGGACATACTCAGTTTAAATGTTAATGGGGCTTTTTATTGACAAATAGTATAAAGGTTAATAGAGCTTTTGAAAGATGCACATAAATGCCTAGAAATATTGCAAAGACATTGGTACTGCCAGTAAGTGGCAATGTTTCTCTTTTATAGAACTTGAAATGAAGTCCCTTTACATTTAAATATTTAAGCTTACCATTCTTAGAAATTTGGATGCTAAAGGTTTTATGCTCTTTTTGTTGGTATTTTGCATTAGTTTGGGCCTAAATAATTAAAACTTCATTCAGTGATCATTCTAATCTCTGTGAGGGAAATTCTATCATAATAACAATGAAGAATGTTGAAAAAGCATGTGTGTACAGAGTTTGAGATGAAGCTCTTAGTAAACTGTCATGCTCTTTACCTAATGACCTTGAATTTTATATTGCTGTGATGAAATGGGCAAAAACCAAAGTGTTGTAAGACTTACATTAAATTGTACATTTTCAATACAGCTTTATTTTAAGTTGACGAATGTTAAGAAAGGTGTTGCTACTTTATGGGAATGTATGAGGAAGAAATGCACGTGTCCATGTGCCTTGACAGACTACCAGATATTCTGAACTCTGAACTTGCTGATGATTGACCTTAAACATGGAAATGCTGTTAATAAAAAGAAAAGGAAAAAAAAAAGTGTTAATGCTTGCTAATTTAGCACTTACTTCTAAACCTAGGATTTGCCCAGTGTCTCTTTTAAAAATTTTCTTTTCTTTGCCTTCTGCAGTACGCTGGTGGCCTGCTTCCTTCCAGCCCTGTGTTTGAGGTTTATTCTGCTTTTGAAGCTTTTATTCCTAACAAAAACTGTAGCTTGCAGTTTCTCACTTGGCAGAGAAGTCATGGTGCTCTTTGAGAACACAGGGGAAACTAGCACATGAGATAATTTTCTAAAGCAGAACTAAATGCCAAGAAATCAGTATCTCCAATTATATTTAGAAACCAATAATCAGATACACAGACCCAAGCAGAAAATCCAGCAATGCGGTCTCTCAAATCCTCCGAGCCACATGTGTAAAGCGAGGATAGAGCGAGGTCTGTGCACGCTAGCCATGAGCAGTCCCCCTGGGGCACTGGGAGAGAGGGTCAGTATGAACATCCAGGCTTCTTGCAAAAACACATGCAATAAAGTAAGTGGTGTAGAGAAGGCATGACAGGTAGCAAATTTCATGAACTGGGCACAGCAGCATTGGCCCAAATCACACCACGTGGTGGGTTCACCTTACATGTGGTAAGTCATGTTCTCCTTGCAGATAGATTGGTGGCTTTAGAACGTCTCTGAAAATCCAGTAAATCTATTTCTGGTGTGTTATTGACTGATGCCAGAACTCTGTAATTTTTTTTTTCTTTTAGAAGAACACCAATGAGTTCAGTCTCTGTCATTCAGTCATTTATTTAAACCTGGAACAGGCCCATGCATCCTTGTACAAATGAAGAGCAGCTCTACGCTAATTAGCATTTCCTGAGCCTTCATGGATTATTATTAGCAAGTGCAACTTTTTTCCTTTGAATGTTTTACAGAGCTTCTGTGAGCTTTTTACATCAGCTAGCTTGTCCTTTCAATTTTCTATTACACCTTTTGTAATTGCTTTCTGTCTATATTTGACATGTTGTTGCTTTACTCCAGTGACTTTCATTATCACTTTTAGCTGTTTGCTATTACTGGGATCAGCATGATTGCATTATTTACTCTATTTGCTTTACATATCACTTTTTCCTTGTTCTCCCCCCTCCTCTCCCACCATCTTTCTGGGAATATATGGGCTTAGCAACATGATGCTGTCTGAAGTCTTATTTGTTACCTTCATAGCCTAAGACCATGATTACTTTAAGCCCAATGATATATTATCATAAAGCACTAAACACCTACCAGACTATTATTGAATTTATCATATGTAAGTGCTCAATAAACAGTGAAAGATAAACCTATTTTTTACTGCCTGTGGAAGTCAGCAGGTTGATTCCTCCTTTAATTCTCATTTTTGTCGATACTAGAATAATTAAATCCTCATCATGAAGACTAGTTTCTTCACAGGTATCTTTTTTTTTTTTTTTTTAAGTGTAGGGTTGTGGTAAACCACCAACAAATTCCCCCTCCAAGCCTTCCTACTCTCAGGCACAACAGAAACTATTAGGGGCTTAAGTGAAATGCATGAAAAGGAGCTACTTTGTTTCTATGGTCTCTAGTGTTCACTGCATTAAAGAGGTTTCCACAGCAGTGATTAAGCAGCTCGTTGATGTGCTCCATTCTGCACCACAGGGCTTGCTCCTTCTGAAAGGAGAGGACGGAATGCTGCCCAGGCCCTCCTCTCCCCTTTCCTCAGTACCCGTGATGAGTGACAGACACAGATGATGTCTCTCAGCAGATGAATCCAAGAGTTCATTAAGTGCACATCTGCAGGCTTGTGGCCTGGGTTGTTTGTTTTCTGCTATGCAGACAGGCTTGACGAAGTTTAACTGGCACCTGCAATTCCCAGCCCATCTGAAACAGCCCTCTCTGTCACTAGAGGAGCAAAGCCCTTTATATGCAGAGAGAAAAATTATTTTGTTTTAATAAGCATAGAAATCGGATGCAAATTTGCTTATGCATTTAAAATCAGAAATGGTGTTTCCCTTCTACTCTGTGCTCCAGCTGTGTGTACTGTGATCCCTGGGGAGGCTTGGTGTGATTGTGGAGGGACTCTGTCATTCTTTCTGGCGTAAGGGAAGGAAAGACAAACTTTAATTAGTAAGTGTCAGCTCCAAAACAAGGTCTGTAAAGATTCTAATCTTATATTAATAAGGATTTGTGCGGCTACGTGTGCTCATACAAAGCTCAGTCCTGCAGTCCAGCAGGGATAGCTCAAGCCATGGTGGGCAGATGTGGAACTGGTGGCATACAATAAAGTCAGAACCTCATACATTTCTTTTCATGTTTATAGCTGTACAAAACTTATCTGTGATTGTGTTTATATTTTTACTTTTCTCCTCAGTAAATTTTTTGTTGTCTCCCTGCAGTCCAGGTGTGAGAATGGAGTAAGTGATGCCGTGGCAGTTATGAGCAGTGAGCACTGACTGAAGGACAGGAAATAAGACCGTGAATTTCACTTTTTATATTACAGATGAATTTTGAAGTGACAGTTTTGATTTCAATGCTTTTTGTTTCTGGTGAGTGCAAGGGTAGAAGATGACCAAAAAAGACTTTAGTGCTTTGGAAATTAACTTTCATTTGTCTGCGTCTAACTTCCAGCTTTACGAGCCAGGACTTTGGTTCACGGGGGATCAGATCCTGGGCTGAGACCCATGTGCATGGACCAGTTCAGGTATTGTGGAAAAGACAAAACAAATCTCTCCTCTCTCTTTCCACCTGGTACATTACAGAACCACAGCACTGCAGAAGGGAGAAACAGCAAGAAACAGAGACATACTACTCTTACAACTATGTGAAATAACAATAGATACCCACAGATCTTGGAGGAGGATGGAGTGATTAATATCGTCAGTACTGAATCTGATTTGCATGTACCTCATAAAACCCTAAATAAAAACATGAGATTTATCCTGTGCTTCATTAAACATGAATGTTCAATAAATTTAATGACTTAATCTTAAATGCAGGCATTTGTCCTTACTGGTAGCTGAATTAGACACCTAGCTTGTACTTATTTGCTCACCTTTTCTTCTCATTATAAGAGAGTAAGGGGCTTCTAGGACATGGTTAGCCCAGTGGTGATCATCACCTTAGCTAGATGCTCAGCTGTCACGCGTTGACATTTTTCTAATCTTCCTTAAAACACAAGCAAGATGCCGTCTTTCTCTGTGACCCGGCTTCCTGGAGCACAAAAGGCCCATGTTTAGAGATATTTCAGTGCTTAAGAGATGGAATTTCTGAAAGGATTTAGTCACGCAAGTCCATTATTTCACAGGGTTTAAGTAAAAATTACAGAATTACACACTTTAAAATAGCTAAGAAACACCTATTTGCATTTTCAGGTACCTAAATAAATCTTCACACTTTGGCCTTGCAAGCCCAGAATTGCAGTGTCCCAGTGCTCTTTATGCTGACTGTATATGACACTTTGTCCTGTTTGCCCTAATCAGGGAAGTTTTGCCATGTGTTACAGCACAAGAGCCAGCTGTTTCAGCACTCCTGACTGACAGCTCACAAAGCAAGGTGGAAGTCATCATGAAGACCCTTTGATGGACTGGGATGCTGAGGCAGGATGTTATAGCAACACCCACAGACACTTCAGCAGCAAGTCAGGACGTCT